GATCACGGGAATATAACTTACAATAGCCCCATATCCTACTTGAATAGGCGTAATATAATCCAACAATTGATGAGCCGTCTCGGGTGAAAATAAGATGCCCTGTCCAGTAGCATGGGCATGATTTATATCATAAGCCAAATACACGGTAGAAGCCGATGTAGCGGCATAAGGCAAGACACCCGCAGCACCGATGATTAGAGATTCCCTAGGAACCTCTCGCAGAGCAAATGTTTCCTTGATAGTTTCCAAATCATCTTTGACAGATCCATGACCTTCTTGATGTGCTTGTTGTTCAAATACGGGACGCACGGAGGATGTGGATGATACTGCTTCGGGATGTGCTTCGATCTCTTGTTTGCTGATGGCTGCTTCCTCCTTGAAGTTTATCTTGTCTGGTATGTATGGGGGTTCGGGTTTGGTAGCGTAAAAGAGGCGGGAGGAAGAGAGAAGTATTGAAGATCGTTTAGAAATTGATGTGCGGTGGGGAGAGGTATTTTTGAGGGTTATGAAGGTTTGAGAATAGCTTGCTCGTGAGATGGGAAGTTTTGTGAAGCTCTTTAGGAGAGAGCGCGTGGCTGCTGTTGTGCGAAGCATGGTTTTGGTTGATGTGAATCCTTACCCCGCGATGTTTATTCGTGTGATATGTAGGTATGGTTCAAGAGGTCAATCAATTGATGGCAATGAGTATCGTGAGAGGTGTTCCAATGTCAATGCCAATGCCAATGCCAATGTCAATGTCAATGTCAATGCCAATATCAATGAATTGGGAATGGGGTTATTGTGGGAGGTAAAGGTATGAAAGAAGATTGGGAGGAATGGAAAGAGCGATTGAATACTTGTATGGAGAAGAACAAACCGGGAAATATGGAGGTCGTATTGATTATATTTTTGTGTGGAACAATTACACAATACATACATACATAGATTTGTTAATTAATACCTAGTACTGAGTAGTTCGTTCTAATAACTTTTCAATATCTTCTTCATCTCAAGGTTCAAATGGTTGAGCGAGAGTTGAATGCAAGATAGATAGATAACCTCCAATACGTCATCGTCATCGATTATACCTAGGTAGGTCTATAAGCTCCACCATAAGGGATGCAAACTTGCAAGGCCCTTTTAGCGAACAGACGGAACAGAGAGAATACTGGTACAAGCAAGGCTTCGGAAATGTATCTCTGCGCACCAATGAACACAACTGAATATGGGAAAGGATTCAGGTTTTTATATTTAATGAATGGATTGATATGGATTTACGTGGCATTTGGGTATGACTACTAGTACTCGATCGAGTATTATGACTTTGATATTATACTCGAATTGAATTCTTATTATATTCTACTCGAGTAAAATTAATCTTGAATTTGATCATTCCTTCGTGATTGCCTTTATTGAACAAAAACATTTACAAACGCGTGGGACACTGGCGACCTTTTAACTACCCCTCTCATACGATAATTATCATCACCAACCCATCATCGCCATCAATACAGTTGAACGAATAGTGATCTGCCACGAAACATAAAGAATGATCTGATTCAAAAGTGATGGATTAAATCATCGCAAAGCTACTTATTCCCACAATAACCTTCACAAATTCGCCGTCGCGGATGACAATAGACATTCTTCGAGCATATTAATCTAGAAGTTCCTGGCCTGGGTGACGGCGACAGGGACTCAAGATGTTGGAAGGTTTAGTTGCATCGTTGCTCAATCGATTTCTGGGTATGTACATACGGAATTTCGATCCTGGACAATTGAAAGTGGGAATCTGGTCGGGAGATGTTAAACTACGGGATTTGGAGCTACGACGGGAGGCGTTGGATCAATTAAAGCTACCTATAAATGTGGTGGAAGGACATCTGGGACAACTCACACTAAAAATACCATGGTCGAATCTGCGAGGTCAACCTGTGCAGGTCGAAATCGAAGATATTTATGTACTTGCCTCGCCGAAAGAAGATGCAGAGTGGGATGAAGAGGAAGAGGAGCGGAGGAGACAGGCTGTCAAGATTGAGAAGTTGGATAGTGCGGAGATGCTGAAGGATCGAAACCAAGAGGGGTTGAGTTTGGAAGAACAGCAGAAGAATCAGAGCTTCACGGATAGTCTGGTTACTAAAATCATCGACAACCTCCAAATTACGGTCAAGAATATCCATGTGCGCTATGAAGACTCGATATCCGCGCCTGGTCACCCATTTGCTCTCGGACTTACATTGCAAGAGTTCAGTGCTATAAGTACGGATGGTAAATGGAAACCGACATATATACAAAATTCTTCTGGGACGACACACAAGCTTGCGACCCTGGGTGCTTTAGCTGTGTACTGGAATACGGATACAGATTTGTTAAGCACTGGGAGAGAAGCAGAGGTTCCTGGCTCAACGGAGGTCACATCGCATGATGAAATGTTGATTAAATTCAAAGAGATGATTGTGCGAGGCGAAGATGCAAAACAGGCCAATCACCAGTTCATCCTGAAGCCTGTTAGTGGTCAGATGAAGCTCGAAATCGACAAAAGTGGTAAGATAGAGATACCACATATGAAGGCCGGGTTGTTGTTCGACGAGATCGGGGTGGTTCTTGACGACAATCAATATCGCGACGCGTTGATGATGGTTGATTTATTCCATTACTTCCTCCTTCATCAAGAATACAAGAAATTTCAACCAAAAGGGGTCCGGCCAAAGGAAGATCCACGGGCTTGGCTCAAATTTGCTGGTAATGCTATCCTAAGCAAGATTCATGAACGCAATCGTCGCTGGTCATGGGCCTATTTCAAGGAGAGAAGAGATGATCGGATTCGCTACATTGAGCTTTTCAAGAAAAAGAAGAAGCAGGTTGAACCGTTATCAGCGGATGAAACCGATGAGTTGGACAAACTTGAGTGGAAACTCGATTATGAAGACATGCGCTTCTGGAGATCCTTGGCCAGGAACCAATTGAAGAAAGAAAACGTCGGTATCAAAAAGGCAGCACCGAAGCAAAAGCAAGGGTGGGTTGCTTGGGCTTGGGGTGCAAAGCCACAGGAAGAACAAGAGGATGAAGAAACAACCATGACTGAGGAGCAGCGGAAAGAGCTGTATGATGCGATTGATTGGGACGAGAAGACAGTCATCGCGGAAAGTGTCGATCTGCCCAAGGAAACGATCAAGCTGCAAATTGAGGCGTCACTCAATACCGGTAGCTTCACACTAAAGCGCGATCCTCATGACAATACGGTCGAAGTTCTCAGTCTTTACTTTGATGGTTTCAAAGCAAAGTTTTTACAGCGACCCGAGTCGATGTTAGCGGATGTAAGCCTCGGCGGTCTGAGAGTGAACGATGGTACGACTCCTGACAGTTTGTTCCCTCAAATCGTTCGTGTCAAAGATGCCCCTGAAACTCCAAAAGCTAAGCTTCTGCTCAACGGCGATGAGGAGGAGTCGGGAGATATCCCTGATCCATTCTTCCAATTCCAAGTCGAAACAAATCCTTTGAAGGATGACGGTGATGTTGTAGTGACCGGAAAGCTTAAACCGCTTGAGATTATTTGGAACCCTCATTTCCTTGTGGGTATAATCCAGTTCTTTAAGCCTCCGGAAAGACACATGGAGTCTATCGGGGCTCTTATGGAATCTGCGGGAGCAACAGTAGAAGGACTCAGACAACAGACCCGAGCCGGTCTTGAATTTGCGCTTGAAGAGCATAAAACAATCAATGCCAAGTTGGACCTTCAAGCACCTCTCATCATTGTGCCCGAAAACATAACCTCGAGGAAAACGACTTGTCTTATTCTCGATGCTGGTCATATCAGTGTGAACAGTGAACTTGTGGACGAGGAAACGATGCGCGAAGTGCAATCAAAGCAGAAGACTATATTTACAGATGCAGATTATAAGCGCCTAGAGTCTCTCATGTACGATAGATTTGTGGTCAAGCTCTCCAATACACAAGTTCTCATTGGACCTTCCATCGAAGATACAAAAGCACAAGTCATGGCAAAAGATGATCCTCAGTCGATGCGCGTAGTTGAGAAGATCAATATTGATTTCATTGTCGAAACCTCAATCATACCAAAAGCACCAAATTTGACAAAAGTAAGAGTTTCAGGTCGTCTGCCCGTACTACATGCTTCTGCCTCGGACAAGAAATATAAAAGCTTGATGAGTATTATCAATGCAGCCATTCCAAATTTGGATGCAGAGGAGCTTCCAGCACAAACATTAGCAAAGAGTCGTCCACCCTCGACTCTGTCAATACTAGCACCTTCCTCGTCGAAGCAGCAGAGAGATCGGGCACGATCTGCATCGTTTAACTTCTCGAAACAAGAGGCTATTATTCTTGAAGACGAGTCGTCCGATGATGATGACGATGAAGATGATTTTCAAGACGCTCCTAGTGGTAAAGAGAGCGATAAACTCAAGCTGGAACAAAAGAATTTCGAACTCAAATTTGAAGTAGAGCGTCTTCAGGGTTCGCTTTATAGAAGTGATCCGGAAGGGAGGAAGCCAGATCAACTATTGGTGGAAGTGGTTGCCGAAAACTTTGGTGTGAATCTTGTTCTTCGTCCGTACGACCTGATCGTGGAAACTTTCTTGCAATCCGTAGTCATGGACGACTACGTTGATAACCCTCCCGCAGAGTTCAAATCAATTGTTTCTTCTGGGGATATGGAATCAGAAGACGAAACTGCCCTCATTAACGTTAAAGTGGTGAAGGTAAACCCAACCTCACCGGAATTCATGCCGAAGTATGATGGGGTTGAAATAAACGTGGATATTTCCGTCTCGACAATCAACCTGGTTGTTACTCGCAAGACGCTATTGACTCTGCTTGATTTCATCTTGATTACATTTACAGACCAAGATTCCCCCCAGAAATCACCTCAAGCTATCAAAGAAACTAAAATTGATCTGTTGGCTGCGCCAAACGAGTCGCCATTTGAAGAAGAGGTAGTGCCACCACCCAGGAAGACTGAATTGTCAGTTCGTGTCAAGGTTGATTTAAAGAGTATACGCTTGATACTCAATAACGACGGCATCCGATTAGCTACACTTTCATTTAACCATGCAGACGTGGGTATCTTTATATTGGGGAATACCATGCGAATCGGTGCAAAGCTAGGCGATTTGTCTTTGGTAGACGATGTGAATCTAGGAGCCACCAACGATTCGAATCTACGGAAATTGATCGCCATCGAGGGTGACGACTTAGCAGATTTCCGATATGAGACTTTTGATGCTGAAAGCGGTTCTTATCCTGGATATGATTCCTCTATCTACTTGCGTGCAGGGTCTATCAAAGTCAATTTCCTTGAGGAACCATATCGTAAGATCATCGAGTTTCTGGTCAAGTTTGGGAAGATGCAAGCTCTTTTCAATGCTGCCAGACAAGCTGCAGCCAACCGAGCTTCTCAACTCCAGCAAAGTACAAGTCGGATCAAATTCGATGTCAACATCAAAACGCCGATCGTGGTTTTCCCTCGTGTTATGAATGCAGGTAGTGGCCAGAGGGATCTGTTAACTGCATATTTGGGAGAAATATATGCGGAAAACAAATTTGTCCCTCTTGATGATTCAAAAGATGCGACCATCGCGATGAAACTGACCGCTGGTATCAGAAACATTCGATTAACATCGGACTTCCACTTCCCTGATGAGAAGGCAGAAGAGCTCGAACTCATTGACAAGGTTGATCTAGGTTTCTTGGTCACTTATGCTGAGCATACTTCTGGAGCACTTCGTCCGGATTTGGAGATCGAAGGCCACATGTCTGATTTCAATCTGCGAATCACACAAATGCAAGTGAAGTTTCTTCTCGAACTGGCAAAGTCGGTTCCGGGCGCTTTTATGGTGGACTCAGACGACAGCAAACAACAAGCTATAGAGGACGTACCCAATGAAACGACGAAGAAGGCCAAGGCAATAACACAAAAATCGTCGGGTGATGACAGCAATAACGAGCTGATTGATCTTGGTCCAGAACTAGGCTCCAACTCACAGAGCTGGACCAAGCTTGACTTGGCTTTCCACGTGAATACGATTGGTCTCGAGCTTGTTCTAGCAAAGGAGAATGAGCCAGTTGGTGATCTTGAGGCCGCAAGTTTGTCGAAATTTTCCATGGATGACACGAAGGTTAAGCTCCGAATGATGACAGATGGCTCCTTAGAATCAGAATTCTTGATCCACGCTTTTACGATCCAAGATAGCAGGAAGAGAGAGACGAATAAGTTCCGAAAGATCATGTCATCTTCGAATAAGGATGTTCAACAGTTCATGGCTAGCATTACTATTTCTGGAGGACAAGAACGCAACCTCATTGCTATCTTGTCGATAGATAGCCCAAAGGTCATCTTCGCGCTGGATTATCTTTTCGCTCTCCAGGCATTCATAACAGACAGTTTAGAAGCCGAAGAGCCTATTTCACCAGATGACGACGATAACGCAACAGAATCTGAGAACGTCTCCGATGCAGATTCTATGCAGGTAGTCAGACCGAAGACGGTAGCTAGTCAAGCAAGGTCTTCGAGCAAAACACCAAGTCAATCATCTTCTTCGTCCGATCAACCTGCCACGACAATTGCATTCAGAGTGAATGTCGTAGACGCACAAATCATCTTGATCGCCAATCCACTTAGTACGAGCTCCGAAGCAATTGTACTAGGAACGAAGCAAATCCTCATGTCAAAACAGCATGCTCTCACTCTGCAGGTATCCGAGATGGGTATGTTCTTATGTCGAATGGATAAATTTGAGGATACTCGTCTGAGGATTCTTGATGACTTCTCTCTGCAAATGTCGTTGGATAGTTCGAAGCCAAACGCTCAAAGCATTTATCTTGATGTTGAGCCACTGGTTCTTCGATTATCGCTGCGTGATATTCTTTTAGCGATCCAAATTTTCCAAAGAGCTTCAGAGCTTTCTGGCAATGACGATGAACATGTAGATAACAAACCGGCTGCGTCTGATGTCAAGGCCAGACAGTTGCATAGTTCCTCTAGCTTGAAGCAACGGACAGCTAGTGGCAAAGGTGGTTCAACAATGAGGAAGACCAATTCTGGCACTGTTGCTCCGTCTCAAAAAGCTCCAGCTCTCCAAGCTGACACGCAACCAGTCCCCAAGAAGCATGAGGAATTGACGGCAACCTTGGCCGGGATGAGACTCATTCTGATTGGCGACCTACATGAATTGCCAATTCTTGACCTCAGTGTCAAGAAGTTCACAACTTCTGCTACTGATTGGACGAGTAATTTACGAGCCGATACCGCCATCAACATGTTCATCAATGTTTACAATTTCTCCAAGTCAGCATGGGAACCCCTCATTGAGCCTTGGGAGCTGGGATTGCTGATAGCGAAGGACTCAAACCCAGAGTGCATGTCCGTCGATTTGATTTCGAAGAAGATGCTTGAGATTACTGTCACATCTGCTACTATTGCACTAGCGTCGAAATCTGCGCAGTTCCTCACTCAATCTGATGATGTACTATCGAAGCCACGAGGAGCTGATGCTCCATATCGCATACGAAATTATACCGGATTCGACATCAATGTTTGGGCAGATGTTCCTGATGCTGATAATACTATGGCTGCCACTTTGGAGGATGGCGAGGAAGCACCTTGGCGGTTCGAAGATTGGGAGAAGATGCGTGAAAACCTCTCGCCGGAGAACACTAGTGGATTTGTAGGACTAAGACTCGAGGGAAGTGGATTCGATAGTCTGAACAAGATACCAGTTAATCGTGAAGGAGAGACTCTCTACAGCCTACGGCCTCGCAAGGATAAGATCTTGCACCGACTGCTTGTCGAAGTTACCTTGGGTACAGATAACGTCAAGTATATCACTTTCCGATCTCCACTTCTCGTAGAGAACAAAACACAAATTCCTGTGGAGCTAGGAGTCTTTGATTCTCAAGAGGGTCATCTGCTCAAAATCGAAAAGATTGCACCCGGCGAAAGTCGCCCTGCGCCTGTCGGAGCGGCATATATGAAATCACTACTGGTGAGACCAGATCAGGGATTCGGATATTCTTGGTCGACAGAATCACTCTTTTGGAAAGATCTTCTTAAGAATCCTACCAGGACGATTACTTGTAAGGGTGAAAGTGGTGACAAGACGCCTCCGTTCTATTTCCAGATGAATGCCACTTTTGATAAGACTACGCCTATTACGAGGTAAAAGAAATTGATTCGTTGATTCTGTTCAAATTGAGCTAACAATTATAGTATCTATCCATACATGCGAATTCGTCTTTCGGCGCCGATTGAGCTCGAGAACTTATTGCCATACGACTTCAAATATCGTATCTATGACAAAAATACGAAGAAAGATTGGACGAACTTCCTTCGCAAAGGCGGTCTAAGTCCTGTGCATGTCGTCGAGCTCTCACATCTACTCCTCATGAGCATTGATATGCAAGATACAGTCTTCAAGGCCAGCGAGTTTGCCATCATCAATTCAAATAACCAAGATGACTTCCGCAAGGAGACTGCTCTCGTCTGTAAAGATCGTGATGGACTTTCTCTGAACCTCAGATTGCATTATTATAAGATTCCGGACAGTGGTGGTGCTTTTAGAGTTACAGTCTACAGTCCTTACGTCATTCTGAATAAGACTGGCCTGGAGATCAACATCAAACAAAAGTCACTATTGCAGCAAGCAAAGACGGCGGCCGGCCAAGGGTTTCATACGGATGCAGCCGATTCCGAGCGCCGCAAGGCACTGCCTTATATGTTCGCCTATGGCGGGGATGATCAACGGAATCGTGCTCTATTGAAGATTGGCGATTCGAATTGGAGTAAACCACAAAGTTTGGATGCCATCGGTAGCAATGTCGATGTTGTGTTACCTTCTTCAAAGGATAATACCGAGATTCACGTGGGTATCAATATTGAAGCAGGTGATGGCAAATATAAAATGACGAAGGTCGTCACTCTTGCTCCTCGCTTCGTTTTGAAGAATCAAATGAGCGAGGAGATAAATGTCAGAGAACCTGTATCATCCGAGCTCTGGACCTTGAAACCACAGGCCCTAGAGCCTCTTCATTTCCTCCAGAAGAGTCCGGTAAAGCAACTTACGCTGTGCTTTCCAGGATTAAACAACCAGTGGTCATCGCCATTTACAATCTCGAATCTTGGTATTACACACGTGAAATTAGCTAAGGCTGGCCAACGACAGAAACTCATCAGGATCGAAGTTCTCATGGAAAATGCTACAATCTTTTTGCATATCAGCGCCGAGACAAAGAACTGGCCATTCTCTATGCGAAATGAGAGTGACACAGAATTCATGTTCTTCCAGGCAAATCCTAATCTAGACGATGATGATGCTGAGGACCGATCTGGATGGCGTCCAATCAGGTATCGCTTGCCACCCAGAAGTATTATGCCATACGCGTGGGACTACCCTGCTGCAAAACAGAAGGAGCTTATTATAAATGCAAATGGAAGAGAACGTCACATTAAACTTGCAGAGATTGGTAATCTTATTCCGATGAAGATTGGAGGAGATGATCCCAACCTTAGGAACCAAAAGATCATTGATCTTAATGTCGCGGCGGACGGCCCGACACAAACACTCATTTTGTCCAACTACAAGGCATCGAAGAGTTTGTACAAGCAGAAGTCAAGAACAAACTCTTCAGTTGGTGTTGCTGGAGGATTTGAGGTCAAGAGCCAAGATACAGCCGTCAACTTCAAAGCACAACTCAAACTTGGTGGTATTGGTATCTCGCTGGTAAATGCCCAATTGAAGGAACTTGCCTACATCACTTTGCGTGATATCGCACTCAAATACGCCGAGTCACCTCTTTACCAAACAGTCACTGCGTCTATCAAATGGATACAAATTGACAATCAACTTTACGGTGGAATTTTTCCCATGATTCTGTATCCGAGTGTGGTTCAAAAGGGTACTAAAGAGACCGAAGCTCACCCGTCTCTTCATGCTATGGTTACCCGAGTAAAGGACGACTCTTATGGAGTTATCTACATTAAATACGCAACAATCTTGGTGCAGCAAATGACTCTCGAAATTGATGAAGATTTTGTGTGGGCAGTTTTAGAATTTTCCAAGGTACCTGGAGCTTCTTGGTCAGAAACACATGAAGGTGTGCTCTGCGATGAGAGCCTCGATATACCAGAACCGAAACAAGAACAATCTGGTCAAGATATCTATTTCGAGCTTCTCAACATCCAACCCATGCAGCTTGATTTGTCTTTCGTTCGTACCGATCGAGTCAATGTTGAGGACAAAACATCTTCAAAGAATCCTCTGATGTTCTTCTTGAATGTCCTCACGATGGCTATTGGTAACATAAACGATGCCCCTGTTCGTATGAACGCTTTGATGCTGGAGAATGCAAGAGTTTCTGCCGCCGTTTTAATGATGAATATCTCGAATCATTATTCACAAGAAGCACTTTACCAAGTTCACAAGATCTTGGGCTCGGCTGACTTCCTTGGAAATCCTGTCGGCTTGTTCACTAACATTAGTTCTGGTGTTGCGGATATCTTCTACGAACCATACCAAGGTTTTATCATGAATGATCCCGAACAACTTGGTATTGGTATCGCGAAGGGTGCCACCAGTTTCGTCAAGAAGTCAGTTTTTGGTGTTTCAGATAGTTTTTCGAAATGGACGGGTAGTATTGCAAAGGGTCTTGCGGAAGCTACCATGGACAAACAATTCCAAGATCGTCGTCGTATGACTAGATCTCGAAATAGACCTAAGCACGCTCTATATGGTGTTACAGCGGGCGCAAATTCCTTTGTCACGAGTCTTGCAAGTGGTGTGGGCGGATTAGCACGTAAGCCTCTTGAAGGTGCAGAAAAAGAAGGCGTTGCAGGTTTCTTCAAGGGTGTCGGTAAAGGTGTGCTCGGATTCGCTACCAAACCTGCCATTGGTGTTTTCGATCTTGCCTCCAATGTCAGTGAAGGTATCCGTAATACCACAACTGTTTTCGACGACAGCGGACTCGACCGTGTTCGTCTCACGCGTTACATTGGCGCCGACGGCATCGTACGTCCGTACTCCCAACGGGAAGCCCTAGGACAATTCTGGCTCAAACAACTTGACAATGGCAAATACTTCAATGAACAATACATTGCACATCTCGAACTCCCGCGCGAAGATGTGGTGGTCATGCTGACCTATTCGCGCATTATGTTGATCAAGAGTAAGAAATTGACCAGTGAGTGGGATGTGCCGTTGAAGGATATACAGACGATTAGTAAGGAGCGGACGGGATTGAGCTTGACGTTGAGGGGTGGCACCAATGGTCCGTTTGTACCGGTGGCGGAGGAGAGTTCTAGAAACTTTTTGTATAAGAATATTGGGGTGGCGGTGGGGGAGTTTAATAAGAAGTATAAGGCTACGGAGTAGTTAGGGGTTGGGGTTGTGTTGGGGGATAGAGGAGATATTGTTGGAGGGAGGAAGAGGGGACACTTGGTGTAGTGATTGGGAATGAATGATTGAATGCAATGATGGGTGGATGGAATGTGGGAGGTGGAAGGTATGATTTGAGTCATGGGATGGGATGCGATGGGATAGGAGTTGTTGGTACGGATAGGAATACACGTGGAATATAAATTACAATACCGGTATACGTACTCGAGTATAGGTAGAGAGAGATGTGAGAATATGATATCAATTTCTATTTTTTTTGAAAACTGTATGTTATTGAAGAGAGGGGGAAGGGGGAGGGGGTTGTGTAAGTAATCAATCGTTACTGTAGTTATATTTACAATCTTATCTTATCTCCTTTTTTCTTTTTCTTTTTCTTTTTCTTTTTCTTTACAACTTCAAGTAGAGTGAGTTGTGGAAATCAATGTTATGTATTAGATGATACTCATTGAGACTCGTATTGAAATGAATTGAAATGGAATGGAATGGAATACTCGAGTACAGTAGATTGATTGCATTATGGATTATGGAAGTTGTAGCCTGTATGAGTATGAGTATGAGTACTACTGTAGTAACTAGTAGAACTATGTTTAAGTTTAAGTTTAAGTTTATCGAAAGAGAAAAAAAGATTAAAAGAGAGAAAAAAAAGGAGAAAAAGAGAAAAAGATCTGGGAAAACTACTTGAGTAGTAAGGAGAGTAGTAAGGATTAGATAGGTAGGGTAGGTATAGAGAGAGAGAGAGAGTAATTAGTTGGTAACGGTTAGCCAATTTTGAAGGAGTTAGAAGTTAGAATATAGCTAGCGGGATTGGATTGGATTGGATTGGGGAATATTATTTAACCTTTTATTTTCAATCATATCACGTACTCGAGTACATATCTACTATATCAATGATGCCCAACCAAACGAAAAAAAAAGGAGGAACAAGTATATATCAATCACAACTCACTCACTCCAGTTACCAGGAGTACCGGTAGGCTCCTTTTGAAAAGCATGTTTTATAAGATTTATGATTCTCAAAAAACCCCTACCCTACCCTACCCTACCCCCAACACCAATCTTTTTTTTGACTACCTAGGTAACTAAGGCTAGTACGTACGTACTGTAATAAAAACTGAAACGATGTGTTTGTTATGATGTGATGTGATATGATATGATACACGGATGCAGCGTAACCTGCCTGCATGGATTCTCAATTTTCATTTACTGATCGCCTGATCAGACTGATTTACTCAACTGCGTTGCCACGAGGTCTTCGTGAATCATGTCTCCTTTTTTCCACTGCTGAATTTGTTGTGGATTTGATATTCAATTTTTTTTTATGTGTGGTCGTTGTGCTGTCGCTTAGTAGATGCCAAAAAAGAAACCCTCCGCGGGCGACCGATTTATCTCGATGATTCGGTCCCATCTATGTGGAAGTGAAGTAGGAAAGGAAAGAGAAGGTAGTCTAAAGTTTTGAGGGCGATATCGTGAGGTATGAACTTGAAGGAAAATGAATGTTGATTTGTGGAAGGGGAGGTTGATCGCAGTCATCTCGTGTGCGCGATAGCGGATCGAGCTTAAAGAGCGAAAAGAAGTCCTTCAAAAATGAAATGATAATCATGTAGATTACCATTCATATTCTCCGGTTGCCTTGTGGAACACGTATTCCTTTCCATTGACGGTAAGGACTCCATCTTTCATGACACACTTCCTGCATGAAATGTTAGCATGAATATTATAGGAAAAGGGAAATGCAGAGGAGCGAATGTCATACCACTTGTTCTTGACTCGCTGGACTTTGTCATACATGCAAAGCATAATATGACCCATACCCTCATCATCATCCTCATCATCATTCAACCCATCATCAGGATCATCCAAATCGGAGTTGATTGCATCTTCATCTAATTCTTCCTTAACTCTTTCGTCATCATCGTTAGAGCCAGGCCCATCTGTTTGTGGCACCGAGCTTGATAAGGTCTTGCGTTGACGTTGCTTGTTTGAGGAAATTTTGGTGGCTTCTCTGAGTGGGAGCATTAGACCACCGCCTTCCATAGCCTTGCCCATAGATTCAATCTTGTCACGGATGAGGTTATCAATCTCAACCCGACCCATGGCAATCTCATCTCCTCGAGAATCGAACTGCTTAATAACTCCAATAGAGTCACCAGTCTCACCACCAGCCCCATCAGTCTGTGCACTTCCAACGCCACCTTGAGGGTTCTGAGGGTTCTGAGGAGCCTGAGGAGCCTGACCATTCTGACCGTTCTGAGCATTCTGATCATTTAGGACATTTTGAGCATTTTGAGCATTTTGGTATGATCTTTGCTGCTGCTGCTGCTGCTGCTGCTGCTGCTGCAGTAATTGTTGAGCCTGCTGAGCTGCCAAGTTTTGTCTATAAGCAGCTGCAGCTTGTTGGCTTTGTTGACTTTGGGATTGTCCTTGTGGCTGCTGTGAGGGAACGCCGCTACTTGGTCTCTGCTGCTGCATTTGTTGCATTTGCAAATGCTGTTGCTGTTGCGCATGCATAGCTTGTTGCTGCTGTGGGCTCAATTGCGACATGCCTTGCTGCTGTGGTGCAGCGCCGCTTCCTTGAATGGATTGAATCGAGGCCGCAGCTCTCTGACCATAAGATGCATGGAGATTCTGAGCAGCGCGCTGTTGAGCAGGTGAAGCATTGGGCATAGTCATAAGAGGGTTGTGAGGGGGTGGTTGTGACATAGGAAGAGGGAGGAAGCCGTGAGTCTCCATACTAGGCTCAGTCTTAATACGAGGGCCATGAGGCATTGGAGTTTGATATATTGGTTGGTTGAGAGGGGGGCCTGGATGCTGATAGTTTGAGGGTACCGTTGGAGGATTTTGCATAGGTTGTTGTTCAGGCTTTGGATCCCAGGGAAACAGAGCAACATTGAGTTGTGTCAACTTTTGTTGCCATCCCTTTCAAAATGTATTAGCAACATCATCTATAAACTTATCTTTGAAACTTATGAGGATTAGGTATATAGTGATCTAAGAAATAAGACTTTGTGCAATGACACCAGTGACTTGAACTGCTACATGTGTGCAAGGAAGCACCCCTTGCACACATTATCTCTCTCTGAGGAACACGAGTACCGAGTACCGAGTACCGTGAATACCATGGTACCACGTGATACAAGATTCCGGAAAGAAACTAGCGTGAACAGAATTTTCACAACCGAGAGGCTGAGTTGTCAAGGGTATAAAGCCAAATACAGAGGACCGCCCACCCGCAAAAACTGGCCCCAATGTGCACAGGCAGCAGTCGTCCTGCAGCAACAGAGGAAAACAACAAGAATATTCCTATCAGAGCAACATCCACCACAACGAGATACATTGATATCCAAAGAAATTAGATTCATTCAACACTCGAGCATCATTCGATAAGAAAAGAAAATCAAGGACATATTGGAAATTTGATCGTGGACCTTAGAACCATGGGAAAACGGTCGACAACAACATACCTTTTTCAATTCCTCCAATACCTGTTCATCAACACCACCTTCCTCGAAATCAACTCTGGAGCTATCGACTACATCTGCGATAATCTGCTGATAGACATTTCCGACCTGAGTGTTCGACATCTTGATGGTCGCGTTGCTTTGGTATTATAGGAACAGAAGGTTGGTCGTGTGCACAAGTGGGATTCTGCTTTCAACTATTTCTCCGACGACTCTATTCTCTACGCGCGAGTAATTATCGATCTTGCAGATATCGCCCTCTCAATGTTTATTACTCTGCTATCACAAATCGAAGCTCGGGAGGTGTGGAAAGAGGTAGGTCGTTGGATAGAAATTTGTTGATGGGAATGGTACTTTTTCCAACTTGTGAAGATGGCTGACTGGTCGCTCGCTCGCAACAATACCTAATTGCCCCCTCCACAACTAATTTTCAGTTTCGTAAATTGTATACCACTTCTTTGATTGACTTAAGGATCTTCTTGACTATCTTATGTAACTTTGTAGACAAATTTAATGGGATTCTGAAAGGTAAAGTGATCTTGCTCAGTCCTGATTTGTGGAGTTGTATGGGGGAAGGTGGCTTTGGTAGAGATATGGTAACTCTTAGCCCGCTTTCGCTTATATAATGACTTAGAAGGCTGAATCTTCGACTTTCTCTTTATTTCTGTTATTGTTTTAAATTGATAATTAATTGGTTCTTGATTATTGAAAATTGAATATTTATAAGACAAATGTGATGGCGTTGGATCCAAGCTGGTGAACCTAATTGAGGCAATTCATTAATTGATTGTTGCTATTATCCTTATGTTTCGGTCTTGAGTCCGAATTGCCACATGGAATGGCTAGTTTTTATATACTCGAGTACATAAATCAAGTTGAAGATAATTTCATAATTTCATGATTCCATTTAATCACGTCTTATGCGTCAATTGAAATTGGATCAAGTGATTTTAACATTTACTTAACAAATATAACTAATACAGAGTTCCGACCAAAAGTGTGTACGCCAACCGAATATAAGCACCATAGGAATCCATTCCATCCATCGTCAAAGCATCAACTTGCACCAGGTGAAGCACTTTCTGCCATGGGCATTGTGAAGATCGAAATCCACCAAACACCACGCTAAAACATCCCAATTGCCAAAATGCTATTATGGAATCTTGCTTGATACTTTACCTGTAGCTCTGCGAGCTATCCCTGACCTATCTATCTGATAGTCATTTGCTTGACCATGTCGGCCTTTCCTGAAGCACCGACTGATGCGGACGCACTTGGACCAGACTTCTTCTCGAAAACCTTCCAGAACTTCAAGCTCTCATCAGCAGCTAAGGATTGTTAGTAAAATTCAGTTCATAGGTAGAGGAAGAAACTTACCAGCTGTAGCGAGCATTTGTCCATCTGGACTGAGGCAGCTGTGGAGGACTCTGGTCTCGTGTGCTGGAATCTCAACATTGCGAACCAAGGTAGGATAGCTCCAGATGCTAATAGAGTTGTCGGGGAAGCCGCTGGTGCTGACGATCTCGCGGTAGTGAGGGCTCCATCGGAGACTGGTGACTTGGGAACCGGTATCGATGCTGTTGACCCGTGCGCCAGTTGTGGTGTTCCAGAAGTGGATGTGACGGTCGTATGATCCACCGCCAGTAGCCAAAACGTTTGGTGCCCATGGGCACCAGCTGAGAGCCTTGACAGCTGCCTTGTGGTTGGTCTTGGTGAACTTAGGAACAGCCAATGAACGAGCATCCCAAATAGAGACCAAGTTGTCGTTACCACCGGTAGCAAGTTGAGCTCCGTCGGCGCGCCATTCTAAACCACAGACTTCAGAGGTGTGAGAAACCAACTCGGCAACTTTGTGTTGGGCAATGCGAACATCGTGGTTGTAGACAAGACCACTTCGGGCACCAGTAGAAAGGGTGTGCTTGTTCCATCCCATTACACCAACACGAGTATCGTGTCCGTGCATGCTTCTGAGCTTGGTGCCTTCTTCGACATCCCAGATTTGGACTTCTCCGGAACCGAGACCAACACTGACATATGCTCCATCACCAGACCACTTGACACTGCTAACGTAGGTATCTGGGCTGGTTTCGAGAAGAGAGCTGACAGTACCAGACTCAGCAGACCAGACATACACATTGCGTTCAAGGCCAATGGCAACTTGGTTGTTGGAACTCCAGTCGAGAAGATTCAAATAGTAGTCGTCGACAAGACCAGGGGCATCTAAGACACGCTCTGGTGCGGTTGCAATACGGCGTCTGAATTGAGCAGTGGTGGTATTGGAGTTCTTGAGGGGGCGGTTGTATTGGGATCGGAGGTCGACGGGCTTTGAAGACTCGGGAGCAGCAGGCTTGAAAGCAAGAATTCTCTGGCCTTGAGAAATACCACAAGCGGATGCCAACGAGTCTTGATATGCGATGGTGTTTGGGGATGGGCGGGAGTATGAGGATGGCTCTTCTTCATCATCCAAGGTCAATGATTCAAGAGCAGCAAGAGCGTCACCGGCACCAGATGCGAGGATTGAGGAGCTTTCGTTGATGCTCTTTGGTCTTTGCTTCTCGGCGAAGTCGGCTTTTCCGCAGCCAGCGGTTGTGATAGCTAAGCTTGCAGCACGATCTGGAATGAATCTGTCGCCAGCGTATGTGACAGTAGTCTTGTTAGACTTTGAGCGGATTGGGGCCTTTCTTGTTCGTCCACTGGCGGGTGTCTTGCATCCTGTACCAGTAAGGGCAAAGTCGGAGACACCGAGCTCAAGGGCATGTCGAGGAGTTTGGACACCTTTGGCAATGTTGGACTTTGGTGAGTCGCGGTGAGATTTTCTTGATGACTTTGCAAAGTGTGATGTTAAGTTTCCACCGTATGTTGACTTGGATGTTAGTCGTACATGCTCTTCAGATACCTTTCTCTCGGGTGGAGTGAAAGGAGATGAGTTATTGATCGAGAGATTTTGAGTGCGTGTACGAGGAGATGGTGTCAAAGGCATGCGTCCGCCAGCGGTGCGTGTGGAAAAGAGTCCTGCATGGGACTTGATGGGGGTAGATACTGCGGTAGCCATTTTGAAATATCAAGGTATGATCTCGGTCGAAAGATAAATCAATGGATCGATCGATGATGGATGGGGGTAGAGAGTACTGGCAGAAAGATTTGATCGACTTAAAAAAGTTATTTGGTAATTGAAGGTATGTTGTGTATGTTTTGTATGTTATTGATTATGAGTATGAGTGTATGAGGTATGGAACGTGTAGAGAGTTTGTATGAAAAAAGAAGAAAAGAAAAGTCATTGAGAAACCGGAATACTTCATTACCTTTTCTACTCGTTTGTTTACTCCACTAGATTAGTTTGGTTGTGAAGGGCAACCGTCAAACAAGGATTAAATCCCAGTAAATTAATGCCTCAGGCAATAAGTGTTGGTATCGTGGCAACCAACAAAACCCGGGACCTTCGTACTTTAATTCCGACTTGCCGACCCGCCCATGTCCCCATGAACTCTCTCTCCAAAATACTTTCATCCCCCCCTCCCCCCAAAAGTCATCCCCATCGTCACTTGTGCATGATTTTTATGTGATCCTAACTGATCCTGACTGAGTCTGAAGAACCATGCAAAGTGTAATATCACCAAGAACATCTTGATTCATCTTTTGGACGGTACGCCGGTACTTGTACTGAACAATCCGTACAATCAATTTTCTTTGTCCCACCCAACAACGAAATACCTATCATTTGAGGGATTTGTGTACATTCGCACAGCATCAACTCTTTTCTATCGACCCAATCTAGCATGACCACATAAGAGATCACCTCTATGATGGCTCAGCCTTCTACACCCAGCGGTACATCACACTCCATCTTCGGTTCTGCTTCTTCTCCTACCAATACGAATCAACTTTCGGGGGCTCCCCCTTTGGCTCCAGGTTCTACGGCTTTTTCCAGCAATACTTTCCTCATGCCCAATTCACCTGTGAAGAATAGGCTGGGTATGGATGGGTATAGGCCCAAGGTTACGAGAACTCTTGGCCAGGTAATTTGTAAAACTTCCGATACTTTGCAGATTGTTTTCTAATCTGTGTTTGAATTTATATAGCGCCCAGCCTGCCTTGTCAATGCCTCTGTCACATTCTGCGGAAATAATCAGATATATGCCTTTGGTGGTTTCGATCAATACACCGATGAGGTCTACAACCATGTTTTGAGACTTGATCTAGTTAGTCACCAATGGAATTTGGTTGACAATTATGGTGATATTCCAGGTGTACGAATGGGTAAGTCTCATGTCCGTTCAATGCCTTTGCGGTTCTAACACATTTGGCAGGTCATACCGCTACACTTTACCAGGGCGAGAAATTACTTATATTTGGTGGAGAAAATGAACATCGTACCTACCTCTCCGACCTCATCATTTTCGACCTCAAGACCGCACACTGGACACAACCAACTGTCTCAGGACCTATACCGAAAGGAAGAGCGAGGCATGCTGCTGTTTTACACGAGGACAAATTGTTCATCATTGGTGGTATCACCGGTCACAACAATTATGTCTTGGATGATATATGCTACCTCGATTTAAAAACTTTCACTTGGTCTCGGGCATGGCGTTTTGTTGGACGATTTGATCACTCAGCATATCTATGGGGAGACAGAGTATGGGTTTTCGGGGGTCTTAGCGAGGATATGGATAAAATCGGTGATATATGGTGGTTGGATTTTAAGGGTAGCCCGGCCTTTGAATCGGCACCATCGTATGGCTCTATGGACAGGCATGCAGCCCTTAGTCGATCTCCTCGACCTTCCTTTTCCATGTCTCAATCAGCTGTAGGCAGCTCAGGATATGCCGCAAATTCAAGCAGCGCGCAAGTCAATCCACCTTCGTTCCAATTAACTAATTCTCCTCCTCTTGCTCCTGGTACTATTTCCTCGTTAAAATTTGTCTCGGGCCCAAATATACCAGCCCAAGGGTCAGGTATGCATTTCCACGTTTATACATCCGGAACTCTTCTCGATTTTGTCACTCCTGCAGCAACTATTACACCACAAGAATGCTCTTTGTCATCTCTGGAATTGGATACTCTGCGCTGGCAAAAGCTAGCGGAGGGTCGAGATATTTTCAGACCAGGTTATAGATGGCACTATTGCACTATGAATGATGAAGGTACAAAGGCTTGGCTTCTTGGCTGCCCAACAGATCCCACAGCAACAGATCTAGGTCCTGGTGGCTTCGAAGAATATCTCAGGTAAGTGGCCATTTAATCATCTGTGTATATTAAATCTCGCTAACCACTCCCCCTATAGTGACATAATGGAAATTGATCTTCGTCGCTATGGTTTGCTTGGCAACGGGTTAAATCCAGAACCTCGAGAAGAGTCTTCACGATTATCATCCTCCGGTAGGATGAAAGTCGAAACCTCGAAAGGTCTTGGAATGGACCTGGCTAAGGTTTTCAATCAAACACCGGAAAGTGGTAGTGGAGCAGATTTTATAATAACTGCCCTCAAAGATGATGAATGGGATGATGATGATTCAAGCTCCAGAGGTTCCATCAATCAACTTCAGCAAAACTGGTTGGCTCCTGATGCTCCAACATCTCCTCCAATCCACGTTCACAAGCTCATTCTCCAAGCCCGGTGGCCCCACTTTGCACGCTTATACAATGCACAGATGGCTGAATTTCATACAAAGAGGATGCACATACCAGAGCCCTATACCGTCGTCAAGGCATTTCTCTACTATCTCTATACTGACAGTATTCATCCAGATGACTGCGCGGAACTAGATGATGTTGCAGGACTTTTGGTTATGTCAAACATCTACAATATTCCACATCTTAGATTGCTATGTGTTAATCGCCTGTCGAAGGAATTAGATGTCGACCACGCTTGTATTATCTGGCACTCCGCTGGTATAGCCAATGAAGAGTGGTTACGCAGACGTGCTGCCAGTTTCTGTCTCACGCATTGGGGTAGAGTTGTTCGCACACCTGGATTTCTCAGACTGCCACGCCAAGCTTTGGTTGAATTATCTCAAGAAATCGATATGGAAGGTCGAGTTGTAGGAGGTGAGCATGTTTCCTATGATTGTCTTGATGTTGCCAAATCTTCCTAGAGTATTTCTAACATGAACCTTAGGCGAAGAATTAGAATATGTTGGAGGACTAGGTGGCTCTCGTTTTGGTGTGGGTGGTGTGATTAGAAAGATGAGCGTCAGTAGTAGTCATACTCAAGGTGTAGGCTCGGAGGTTGACGACAACGAAGAAATGGAAATGAATTAACGAAATGAAACGGTATAAATAAGATGGGATGGGTTTATATGGTGGTAGGGTAGGGCGTTGGCTATTTGCTCATTTTGCATGATGTGTCAAGGTGGGGAAAGCATTATTCAGGCGTCTGGATTATTGCTGTTATCGTTGTTAGTCTGCTACATAGAGATACCATATTACAATACAGACATTACTACAAGGTGTATCTAGCACTCGCTGTATTACTTTAATTGTTGAACTTTCTACACGAGTACTATCTCAATACCTAAGTTGATATTGAAGATTGAAGGTGGAAGATTCGATATCTACTTTTCTAGAATAGTTGACATCTAATAGAAAATACGAGTATATGGGGTTTTGTTAGATTGAGAGGCCTTAAGCGATAATTCGAAACCGTCTGGAAACTTCTCCTTTTCTTTGTGCTGGGAAAGAAAATGAAGATGAATGAGTTGGGTTATAAATGGGTTATGGATGGTTTATGGATGGGCAATAAATGGGTAATGGAAATGTTAGGGCTAATTATGCAATGTTAGGATATAAGATAAATTGGACTTACTACTGAGTAGTAGGGGTGGGGTTTTGCTATTTTAGTACGAGTACACAGCTTCAATATCTCTCTCTCTCTCTCTCTCTGCCTCTGCCTCTGCAGCTTGATACAAAAGATTTCTTGTTCTTTGTTAAATAAAGAGCTTTTTAATATTAACATAAATTGATGATCGATTTATTCTCGGATACCGTTACATAAGTACAGTATATGCGCATGGTCAGATCTCCCCACGCGTATGCACATGAAGTGAAGGTTCTTTTACTATCCAGTACTGTATGTAGCCTCTCACCCCTTATCCCTTATTCACAAAACATCCTTTCCCCCAATTTACCCATACATACATAGTACATAGTACACACCCGCCACTCCACGAACTAAAAAATATGAACTCCAAAATCACCATTGTTCCTAATCCACCCATGTCTCACTTCCTCCATTCCCTCTTTCTCTAAGCCCACCCCATCCCCATATTTTTTACCCTCATCCTTTCCCTCTCCCTCTCCCTCTCCCTCTCCCATTCCCCCTCCAAATCCCCCCAACACCCCGCACAATACCCATTTCCACTTCCAATAACCCTCCTCTCATACCTAACCTTATACGCCGCACACATCGCACCCGTACCTACACCCACACCCATATCCGCGGTCCCGATCGATTTCGCACTTGCACAGTGAATAATGTGGGGACGCCAGCTATGGGTACAGATGCGGTAGCGGTAGGTTATGCTGTGGCACATGGTGTGTGAGTGTGTATTGGATTAGGACTGTGGACTATGGACTATGGGGAGTTAGACTCAATTACAGTAGTCTCGTGTGAGGTGATGAGAGGGAAAAGGAGAAGGAGAATACAAACGAGATTATGTTTGGACTTTAGTTTCTTGGTCGATGTTAAGGGTCCAGGCGGTTTTGATATGGTGTGGTGAGTGTGGCTTAAGTAGTGGGTGGTTCTACTACTTCCTCGTTTCGACTTTGCCTCTGGATAAGATTCTTGATATTGGTCATGTATGACACTTCGATGTATTGCGCCCGAAAATTAGAAGTGTCGCACTGTCGAATGCAAAAGTCTTTGCTCTCGATACTTCAAATCACACCCCGCGCTTCTCGAGACTGAATACTGGTAAAGTATATGTTATGTGTCCCCCTCTCGTTATTTCATTGTTGATTTTGTGTACTTGTATTTGTACTTGTACTAGGTATCCGATACGAGTAGAGTAGATTGAAGAAATACGTAGAAGGTATGTTTGTATGTGAGCATGTACTAGGTATGTATGCACTGAAAGATTTTGATAGATGAGATGTCTATCGAATTTTTGAATCGGAAAAGTCAAGGGACTTCGTTGAACGAGGGAGACTGAGTTGGAGATATTTATAAGGATGGCTTATTGAAAAGTTCAATGTTTACCCATTTTTGGTATCACTATTCACTATTCACCATACACGGGCTATATATATCTCTCTCCATATGAATAATTGGCTATCGACCGGCGGGCTCTCTTTATGAGTGAATATGAATGGATGAATGGACAGCTCTGCTTCCAATCATTTAGTAAAGAAATAAACAAATAAACAAGTAAACAAATACGCTCAGATATATATTAATTCTCACTCTAAGCATGCATACATCATAATCATATTCACCCCCAAAAATCAAAATACACACTCTGTCTTTTCTTCTTCCTTATTAAGAGAAGTTGTAGACAGTGAACTCATTGGAAAAGTTCACTTCATGTAGACTACTACTAGAATCATCTCAGGTGTCGAATAGAAGTGTAAATGTAGGCGTGTGTATCCGAGCCTGACCGTAACTCATTATCTATTCCCTCGAGTATCCATCAGGCTGAACTACACCACACTACATACAGCCCCAATATCCCATATTCTATATCCATATCCCACTTCATCAAAAGGTGCCGCACCACATCACAATACCACCATACTCTACTCTACTCTACTCTACTCCTCTAAATACCACCACCCACTATCTCATCCCCATCCCCAACAACAACAACAACAACAACAACAACAACAACAACAACCCAGAACAACCCACAACAACATCCCACAAGCACTTCAAACCATCCCAAACCCCATCCCAATCCCCATCCCAATCCCAACCACATATATATACTCGAACAAAACGACGACCCTTTTCCCCTTCGCCATCTCCCATCTCCCATCTCCCATCTCCCATCTCCCACCTCCCACCTCCCATTTCCCATCCCCACCAATCTACAACACTCCCTCCACAACACTTCCTCCACTATCAATCTCAATCCCAATCTCAACCTCAACATCCTATCACCCCAACAAAATAAAGACAACAAATAATACTCCAGTACTCGAGTATGTATATAAACGAATACGCAATCCCAGAATCCAAGATTCCCAGTTTCAAAACCTTGATCTCGACCTTCAAAAAATCACCCCAAGCACCCCAAACATCAACCAGCCTAGTCATCGTCATCGTCATTGCCATCACAGATCCCTCAACATACCCAAGGAAGAAAGTAAAGTAAAGTAATTCATGATATAACTTAGGAGTCGAATACTCGAGTATTTTCATATTGATTGGTATAAAATATATATATGCTCATTAACATTCTTCGCCTCAAAAACACAAACATCAGGTGAGGGAGGTGGTTGGTGCATACTGCCTGCCTAGGCAATCTCCCAAACTCCATATTAAACATTTTTGATCTCCACATCACCCTCACCCTCAAACTCATGCCTCCAAATATCTACAAATATCATAATCTTCCAAACGCCAGCACCTCACCCCACAACCCCTTATTTAACACCCCTCCACGCCATTCCCAGCAGCACATCCCTCTTATCCTCACTCTCCCACTCAATCCCCACCTCGACCTTTTCCTTCGTATCCCCACTTCCACTTGCACTTCTCCCTTTACTTTGCAACGCCACCAATCTCTCGCCCCTAAAATACACCAGCACACCTCCCTTCCCATTACCCGCCGCCGTGATCCTATATAGGGGCCCCGCACTATGCAGCACCTTCTTCTCAGGCAGAAATTGCAAATCATTTTCAATGCACCAATCTTCGACTGTTGACTTAAAGGGAATTTCTTCCTGCACCACCTGTACCGGTTTAGGTTTCGGAGAAGCAGGTACTGGCGAGGGATGAGATGATGATGTGGATGATATTTTGGGTGCCGGGAGATGAGTTGCAGCTTTTGAGCCGAGAGCCAGTGCTCGGTTAATCATGTCATGACCCTTTTCGAATTCTTGTTGTATAGATTTAAGATCTTTGATCTCAGGTGGAAAAACATCATCGCGCCACCATTCGAACCATTGACTTATTTCCTGATTATGGCCCACGACTGTAAGCCATTGATGCAAAACATTCTGCCACATAGGAAAGACTGCTTCCACGATGACTTGGCCGACGATGCGGGGTTTGAGAATATCTTTCCAGGCGAAGATGCCTTGAAGACTGGACATGTAGGGAGCTTGATCGCTGGGGTCGACGAGGAAATTATTTTCATTTTTGAGAAATTTGGCCATGCTGGGGAGGACGTGGTTCATGATAAGAGGAGTCCATGTGTCAGTGTTTGACCTTGGACATAGAACCTCGCGCCACTGCTCAAGACCTGGTATAACACCTCTATGATAGTCCCAAGAATCAATGAGATGGCGGAACTTTCGCTTGACGTCGCTAACGAGCCCGGTTGAACTCTTTGGATCGGCATGATAGGCAGATAGATGTTGGAGCCAGGGGAACAACCAAAGATGAGGCAATTCATGATTTCGTCTCTTCTTGGGATTCCAGGACGAAACAGCATCATTGAGTTTACCCACTATAGCTTGATCCAGAATCTGCGATCTCACAAATTTTGGTAATAATCCTTGCCAAGCATCCAGAAACGTCAATACTGGGGCAGGGTTATGTACATCCCACCCTTTATTAATAGATGATACAAGTTTAGGAAAGATAATCTTGTATATCATACTTTCATAAGGGGTGGTGGATTTAATCTTACTCTTATGCGAGGCTAGCATGAAAGAATCCTGACTAACAATGGTCTTCTCGTTCGTCGCAGCTCCAAGAATGTGTCGAATCTTGTAAAGATTCGGAACCATCCCATTTAGCTTGGGATCTTCCAGCGGTTGCCAACCTTCTGTGGCTTGGCGAAGAAAAGGGTGAACAGCTGCGACTGCAATATTTGAAAGTTCTTCATTAGCTCCGGATATGTCAAGCCCATCCACGGCTTTCAGTGCCTCGAGTACTGGATCCCATTGCCCATCCTGCACAGCCTTGGCAATACCCTGTATACTTTCCGCAAAGACTTTTATTTGCTCATATTGCCGTTGTTCCTCATCTAATTCCTGTTGCTGCTGTACGAGTTCCATTTCGGTGTATGCTTTCCTTTCTTCAAGATTTTTCCATTCTTCCACGAAGGCCGACAGGTCATTTTGAGCTCTTCGGGCCAACTTTCTATTCTCCACTTGTTCCACGCTCTCTGTTTTAGGCGGCCCAGCAGTAGGTGTTAAAAGTCCAGACGTGGAAGTTAACAGTCTTTGACCGGGCCCAGTCATATCTAAAATTGGGGCAAATGCTTCCGGAATCTCCAATCCAGGCGCAGCTCGTTGTACCTCCTCCACTGTTCGATACCTTGGTTTCGGTGCTTTTCGTGGAGTGCTCAGCCCACTCATACCACTATCAGTACCACTCGTCTTTGGCTTCCTCCTGCGTTTCTTCCTCTCCTCATCCGAATCCTCAATTATCTCCCCCTTCAACTTCGCTTGCCGCTTCTCTTCTTCTTTTTCTTGTTTCGACTTCTCAGTTACCGATCCCAAACCAACACCCTGCGGCCGTAGAGTCACCTCAATAACTCCGCTTCGACCTTGACCTTCTTTCCCCAGACCCTGCCCCTCTTTATAACCCATCTTGGCCATCATTTTTGCCGCAAATGACATTCCATTAACCGGTGTTGCACTACCACCCGCTTTATTCCCACCGCGTCCACTTGAAGGTGTAGAAAACGCGCTCGGCCTTGCAATCCTCGGTGTCGTGTCTTGCGCATCGTCATTATTTAGTAATATTGGGTTGTTCGCCGAAGATGGCACAAATCCGCGTCCCAGAGGTGTACTTGCATTAGACCCAAATCCAGTATATTTCATCTTCGTCGGAGCAGGACTTTGAAATCCTAAGCCCTTCGCAGCAGCACCGAATCCTAAGCCTCGGGGCGCACTTGGCTCTTCCACGTGATTACCCATTTCTGCATCAGCTTCCCCGTTGTTAAATCCAGTTTCGACTTCTTCTTCATCTTCATCCTCGTCGTCGTCCTCCTCCTCCTCCCCACCCCCAACTCTCTCCCCACCCCCAACTCTCTCCCCTCCCGCCACAAAACTCAATCCCTTCTCCCTCAAGCTCTTCTTCTTCCACCTCCTCCCCACTCCACCCCCCTCATCCTCACTCTCACTCCCAAAGACGCCCAACGCCGCACTTTCCTTCGCATCTCTCCCAGTACGCCTCCGTTTCCTCGGATTATAATCTGCGAACTCTTTTCTGGGATCCGTGGATGGTTGTAAGAAATCATTTTCATCACCCGAAGAATCGTCAGATGAATCGCGAGGAAAAGCCTTCATAGACATTGTAAATCGTTGGAGCGTTGAGTTTGGTTGTGTTGAAACTCTTGAGAGATAGTTTATTTTGATAGTGACGGAAGGTCGAGATTCAAACGAGACAGCCTTGCTTAGTCAGATATTAGTCAGCAAAGAACTTTTTGTTGCATATCTCATTCTCGAAAAGCATTTTTTTGAGCTGTTGTAAGCCCTTTTAGGTGGTCTCTGCATAATCTACAACAATATCAAATCTTTGAGATAACAAAAAACTATAACG